TCTAGGTCGTGGCAGCTCTACGACATGCACTTAACCCTTGCCTCGTCTGACACAAAACTGTCCTGGTCCAAGGGGGAAGACCAACGAGAGGGCCTGGCAACAGAGAACGACAGTAGGGTTCATCTTTACCTGGCGACTGGCGACACATCAGCCACCGAGCCGTGCGATGCAGAGAGTAGGCCGGTCCCAGAGTCGCTCTGTAGTCTGTAGGTCTGACCTGTAGGCCTAGCTCGCACCGTGCAAATGAATGTATACATTATCGTGTACCTGAGCATCGTCGCTGTATCGTCTGTCTGTTGTCAGCAGCGCGACGCGTCGCGTCAGACGTGCTATGCTATTCAACAGTGTTGTAAAACATGGCGGACATGTCACACGCAACTTCGCTTCGTGATTATTTTCCACTGAAACTCTTCACAGATCAACAAAATCAGCAAGAAGTAAGTGTTATTAGGTGCTTTACTATTAAATATACTGATGCTAGCATCAACACTTGGCCACAAAATCACCAAGAAATGCACTTTATCATACATTGAAACTTCGAATCGAGAGGTTGACTTGACTTAGTTTTGTCATTTGACTGTTTGTCGTAGCCTATGCTGGCCTAAGCCCTAGTCTAGATCTAGACCTGTGTGCTTCTCTAGATTCAAGGCTAGATCTATATCTATATCTAGACTTCTAGATCTAGATTGAGATGCAGATGGATGTCCCTAGAAAGGCCAAGATTCTAGATCTAGATCTATATAATAATTTACATCTCATCTAGATCTAGAATCTAGAATCTAGATCTAGATTCTAGATTAGATTTAAAGTATTCACCCCAGAATTATATCTCGACTTGATCAATTCTAAATATCTGGTGTGCAATGTCCGTAGATCTAGAAATAGAAATCACTCTAGATTCTAGATCTAGATCTAGGCCTAAAGTACCCCTGTCGTAAAATCTATATTTAGATATATCTAGATTTAGATCTAAATCTAGATTCTAGATCTAATTTATATAATCTAGATTAGATCTAGATTATCTTGGCTATCTAGAACTAGAGATACATGTATATATAGATCTCGAATCTAGATCTAGATCTAGATTTCTAATCTAGATCTAGCCTAAATCTAGATTCACTCCCACATGACAATGGCGTCTTGTAAACATTAAACAGGACCGCAATTGTACAGGTGCATCGAAAAAGAAACCATTGAAACGAGCACAGAAGTAGATCTACTGTTGATATGATAGTATGAATCAAGTTGCATGACAGTGTGTGTCTCCGCCAATTAACAGGCAGGCAGCCTAGAATCTAGTCAAGAGTCGCCCTTCGGTCATTCGCCAACCTCTAGAGCTAGAGATCTAAATCTAGATCTAGATCTACTTTCCGAACTGCACACTCTTGACTGTGTGCACAACAAAATCAAGATTCTAGATATCTAGATCTAGATCTAGATACACGTTTATTAATTAATATCTCTCTCTCTCTCTCTCTCTCTCTCTCTCTCTCTCTCTCTCTCTCTCTCTCTCTCTCTCTCTCTCTCTCTCTCTCTCTCTCTCTCACTCCCTATCCCTGGGCTAAAATAAATAAATTATAGGCCTAGTAGGCCTAGGCTAGACATCGATGTACCGCCCGAGATGATCAGTAGCCTTGTATTGTGGCCTAATTGTAACCAATGTATGTAGGCCTAGGCCAGATTCTAAACTAGGCCCTATCGTCAGTCCAGCGAGTTACTATGCGCAGCTGCAAAAGTGGGAGGGGCCTGCACTTGTCACATGACGTAAAGAAGAGTTGTCCCGTCTTGGTATAGGCCCTAGGCCTAATTGGTCTTGGATTACACATTACCTGGGCTAAATATATAGATCGTTAGTGTTGCACACCCGCCTGCACACGTCAACACACAGTGCGGCTGTGCTGTGCTGACACACAGCGAGTGTGCGTCACGCTCGCTGAGACACAGGCGCCAACTCACAGTCCGGCTGTGCTGACACGCAGACGGCGTGCGCTAGGCGAGCTACAGGTCAGACCTACAGAGCCACTCTGGGACCGGCCTTGGGTAAAAAATTTGAGACGCAACTTGTCCAATATCTCCTCAACTATCAATGGATCAAACATGGGTTCTCCAAACTTTGCACACTGACTTGTTGCAATTCGTCTTAACAGATCAACATTTTTGTAAACATCTACTACTAGCTGCATTCTAGAAAATTCCTTAATAAATTATACAATAGGCCTACTAATACATACAAAGTATCCAGGTATGAAAGTACCCAGGTCTTGCACTTGCAAGGCAGAGATCAGCTCTTCTATCTCCACACTTGCCAAACGGCAAAATCTCCTACCAAATGAAAATGTTTAATGTGTCCCACGCGCTCATATGGCCTTATGCAGTTATGAGCACCGTAAAACACCCCCCCCCCCCCTCGTCCCCTCCAAAAAACCCCAAGAAAAACAACAAACAAACAAACAAAGACAACATACATCCGTACATACATGAAAATAATACATACATGTACAAACATACAAACACACATGCAAACAACAGCCTGGCTTGCACTGAGAGCGACACATGAGATGACCAACCGGAAGTCGGGCGGAAGTGGAAGAGTCACAACCGCTGCCTTGTAGATCTAGTAAGTTGTAGGTGGACAGAAAAAGAAAAGAACAAAACAAAACAAAAAACCCCAAAGTGTGCCCACCCCCATCTGACCCGACCAACTGTTTGAGTTTGATGTTGTGTTTGGCTCACCTGACCAACTGTTTGATGTTGTGTTTGGCTCACCTGACCAACTGTTTGATGTCGTGTTTGACACACCTGACCAACTGTTTGATGTCGTGTTTGGCTCACCTGACCAACTCACCTGACGAATTGTTTGATTTGTGTTTGGTTCACCTGACCAACTCACCAGACGAATTGTTCGATGTCGTGTTTGACTCACCTGACGAATTGTTTGATGTCGTGTTTGACTCACCTGACAAATTGTTTGATGTCGTGTTTGACTCACCTGGCGAATTGTTTGATGTCGTGTTTGACTCACCTGACGAATTGTTTGATGTCGTGTTTGACTCACCTGACAAATTGTTTGATGTCGTGTTTGACTCACCTGGCGAATTGTTTGATGTCGTGTTTGACTCACCTGACGAATTGTTTGATGTCGTGTTTGACTCACCTGACAAATTGTTCGATGTCGTGTTTGGCTCACCTGACGAATTGTTTGATGTCGTGTTTGACTCACCTGATGAATTGTTTGATGTCGTGTTTGGCTCACCTGACCAACTCACCTGACCAACTGTTTGATGTCGTGTGTGGCTCACCTGACCAACTGTTTGATGTCGTGTTTGGCTCACCTGACCAACTCACCTGACGAATTGTTTGATGTCGTGTTTAGCTCACCTGACGAATTGTTTGATGTCGTGTTTGACTCACCTGCCTGACGAATTGTTTGATGTCGTGTTTGGCTCAACTGACCAACTCACCTGACCAACTGTTTGATGTCGTGCGTGGCTCACCTGACCAACTGTTTGATGTCGTGTTTGGCTCACCTGACCAACTCACCTGACGAATTGTTTGATGTCGTGTTTAGCTCACCTGACGAATTGTTTGATGTCGTGTTTGACTCACCTGCCTGACGAATTGTTTGATGTCGTGTTTGGCTCAACTGACCAACTCACCTGACCAACTGTTTGATGTCGTGCGTGGCTCACCTGACCAACTGTTTGATGTCGTGTTTGGCTCACCTGACCAACTCACCTGACGAATTGTTCGATGTCGTGTTTGACTCACCTGACGAATTGTTTGATGTCGTGTCCCCTGATGCCGTAGACCAGCGTCTCGTGGTTGTTGCCCAGAAGGTCAAGGTCACCCTGTGGCTCCCCCGCGCGGCCGCACACGTCCTGTAGGTAGGCGTGGTCATAGTGCAGCTCGCGCACGTAGAAGCCCACACACACCCCCAGCAGGAACATTATCGCCACGCCCAGCACACACAGGGAGAAGCACACCACGCTGACCATACCGCCTGACCTCCTGGACGAAGCAGAGGTCACAGAGGTCACAGAGCTCTCACTGACACGTCGTGTGGGGGCGGGGCTACGGGGCGGGGCTTGCGAGGTTGTGGGCGTGGTCTCCCGGCCGGGCTGTAGCAGACGGTGGCTCGTGGCGTCCTCAGGGTCCACGGG